GCTGTCACGAAAGATTCTATGACCGTATACAGATTCTATGAAGATATAACGAGTGTATAGCAACAGAACGAAATTTAGTCACTTACAGTAGTAATCAGTGGCATCCTAAGTAGTTAAACTTTACACCCTTAATTTAGATTTAGTATAAGCCAACTGAAAAATATCCACAAAAGTCAACATTAATCGTAATACCACAAAGAAATGTAGCTGGACTCGTGAAATAAGGGAATACTGTGCAAACATTTTACAAATCCGATCTTAGCCCATAAATTAAATTTTTTCTGTTCATCTCTATTTAAACCCTGCCAAACATGTTAATTGACAGATCTTGTCAAAGTATACACCACAAGCCAATCTCCTCAGAATGCGGACAAAACGTGATAAAATGAAGGTGTTAAATACACCTTCCCTATATAGGGCGAGATAAACCACACTGACAATGCGCTAACTAGCTCTAGAAAGCTGTATTGAGATAGCAGAGTACTGCTAGAGCAGAGCCTCAGCCACTATAGACTCTAGGGTAGAGCGTATCTGAGATCTGTAGGAATGCTATGTCGCCAGTTATGCTTCTGATACCATCTATAATTTATCACACGGAGAGGTTGGAAGCAGCCACCATTGGAAATTACAGATTGGCTTTACACTGCTTTGCATTGTGCGTTTGGAGGGCGTAGTGTAAAATGTGTGGCAAAAACATGCAAAATGTGTGGAGAGTTAGAGATGGCCGTACTCATAAAAGTACTACTGTATTTCTCTTGTTATTGATCCAAAAGGGCCTTGGTGAATTAGAGAGGATGTGGTATAGGAAGACACATCAATGGAAAAGTGAAGGAAAGGTATTTGTAAAGTTGATACGGCAGTTGACCAAAGTTAGCGAAAATGCTTGCTGAAAAATTTTTAAATTTGAAAAACATAATGAATAACTCCTTCATTAGAATTGTATATGTTATTAAATTTACGTAAATTATATAAAAATACGTCTAATAAAACTTGAAACAAATCGTATTTACACCCATACTGCCTACTCCTATATCGGTAAATGCATATAAATGATGGTGAGTAATGATCTAATTCGATTGACCCGACAATCATCATCATACCCTATAGGCGAATCATCAGAACCTCGTAACTAGGGACGCCATAGATATTCTTGCCATCCACCTTTAGGGTCTGATGATGATTGCAGTGTCAAATTGAAATCAATAAATACTTACCACATTTTATAAGTATTTAAGTAGAGTGAGTTGACAGTTTAAGTGTAAATATACATTTTATAGTGTTGTTATACACATTTTAATTTATTTTCCGTTAAATAAGTATTAATGTTTTTTCCATGCCCTCATACACAAAACATGAATCAAGAAGAGGTTACTTTAGTGTACTAGGCATAAACCTTCTTAAAGAGCATAACGATTGTATGTGATTGTAAGAGTGGTTAAAACCATCCAAAGTGTATCTATTGGGGTATCTAACCAACCTCCAAAACAAACTACTTTAAATAATCGAAAAAAAAATTATTTATTCCACACCATCCATCTGTTTCAAACTCCAAGAAACTAGACCATTGTCAAACAGTCCATGAATAAATTAATCACAACGAGTTAGGTCGAGAGCGACATAATACTTAATTAAAATACCCCCAGCATTGTTTGTAGATTCTGTGCCGGCCACAAACAAATGATTATCATCGGATTATAATGTCTAAAAGGCGTGCCTGTCTGGAGAGTAATAGGCCAATCAATTTGGTGCTCTTGTGGAGTTCAATTAGTAAATCAATTACTCCATGTCCGACTTGGATGGGTGACAGAATCGTGGGATGCGATGTATTGGCCACTCATGCAAACTCCAAGGCTTTGACACGTCTTTCAGCCGGCCTGCTAGGGATGAGTGGGTGCTTTACAAAGATTCTAGGTTTTATTGGGTAAAGTTTGTAGACTTTTTATGGCTGATTCAAAAATGTCTTTAACTAGATATTGGGAGTAAAAAAACTCAGGGCTCAAAGGGTGCTTTACAAAGACTCTAGGTTTTATTGGGTAAAGTTTGTATGTAGACTTTTTATGGCTGATTCAAAAATGTCTTTGTCTAGATATTGGAAGTAAAAAAACTCACTGTTGAAAGTCAAACAGTAAAAGAATCTAAATAATATGAAACAGTACACCTATCAGCTAGGACAAACTGTATTATTGTTTAGTACTCTTTGGCTGTAACTTTGGAATCCAGGAACAAAGAAATGTGAGCTTGGTAAAGTTTAATATAACTTATTAAATATCGAAAAAAATTATGAGTCGAAAGAATATATGAAATAATATCCGAAAACCTAAAAACCCTTTAAATGCTGTCATGATTTATACTATATTGTGACAAGGAATAAAAAAGTACAAAAATCAGAAGGCGAAAATCTATTACATAAATGATATTCTAAAAAAATAAGGAAAAACTATTTACTATTAAGTTTTCTAGTTATACTGTACATGTTTAAAAACCAAGATAACAAGTTGTCTAGTTTATCAAGCTCAAGATTCTCAAATCATCTAGTTTACCATTTAAGACATCGTGTTATCAAGTTATCGAGCTATCAAGGCATCAAATGATGAACATCAGCTTCACCTAGAGGCTATACCTTCAGTCACCCAGCGTGAGTCTTCTGTCTTCTGCTTGCTCGTGCGTGACGGGCAACACATTGATGCTAATGTCTTAATTGCTCCATGCATCTAATGTATCACACAGCACTATTTACTTTCACTCTCCACCGTGGTATCTTCATAAGATAGCATAATGGTGGGGTTTAAAGAACTCTACCCTTACAATTGGAGTTTCTATACACCCTAAATTTGTCTTATACCTGATGAGGTAAATTTGGGTCGGCTAAATAATGTATTTCTTGAGTACACGTAGCAACCGGTTGTATTTTAAATTTCGTCGTAAGAGAAAATGCACTGCTATAAGAAAGTTTATATACCTAAGACCAGAAGGTGAAATTTCGATGATCATTTTGATAATAACGTGAGCTAGGTAAAGTTTAATAAAACTTACTATCGAAAAAAGTGATGAGTAGAAAAAATATATAAACCTATAATATAATAATATAATATAACCTATAATATATGGTCATTTTGACAAGGGTGCCATTTATTTTTATGTGATTTGTATTTAGATCTAGTCAAAACAATATTATTTTGAATGTCAAGTTTATGTTTAATTAAATGTAACTTCTAAAAATGTTAATATATTTATTTATGGAAAAATATTGCACTCTCTAAATATATTTTAACAGTCTTCATCAGTGGTAGACCTCTTGAAATGTAATCTTATAAGACTAATAGTCTTAAATAAATTTCGAGCAATGCCGAACTGTGGTTTGAATATAAGACGTTACTGACCTAAACCTTATTTTATTATCATTTAGAGACAGAGTTTCTGTAACAACCTGTAAACTATGTAAAACAATGTCTAAATTGTTTGTTTAAATCTGAAAAAATGTCACGTTAAACATTTTCAACAATGAAAAAAGTCACTTAGACCTTTTGTTGATCCATTTTTGGTTATAGGAAACTATGAAAATTCATTAACTCCTAAACGCCTCCGTCTCTATAACTATTACCGTAAACTGCCTTATTTAAAGAAAATTTAGTTTTTTTTAAGAGGGGTAATATCAACTCTTAAAGGACTAGTAAGCGTCTCCTTCTATATTCTATTGTTTATTGCATGACAAATATTATCTGCCAATTATTTTCCTTGACTGCAGGCTAACTATAGCCTCAGCACATAACGGTAGAAAGACTCAATCTCAAGGACACAGGACGAGGAAGGACAGTCCCAGGACATCCTCAGCCTCGTCGTGATCCTGCAAACCGTAAACTAAGGATCTAGTTTTAAATTTGAACAGCGATTCCTTTCACACCGTGAATTATTCGATCTGGTCGGTTGCGCCTGGGAAAATATCTGTGTAAACGTAATTGCTCGGACGCCTCTTGCGGTTGCGCAATTGAGAGAAATGGACGCTGACTGTCCTAGTTGTGGTCATCTGATAAAATATCACGATAGCTTTGGATGCGGTGAAATAATTGATTATGTTTGTATTCAAGTTTTTTGTATTGTGTTTTTGTGTACAATATTTTCGTGTTTTATTTTAAAAAGCCTAATAATTTATTCATAATTAGTTTGTAAAAAATTGTACATAGTTCCAATACTCTAGGGTTTACTATTTCAAACAATTACCAACTATAGCACTAAATATCAACCAGTATGGATTTTTTTCTGTATACAAAATATGCTACAATACCTGAAACTTTTTCTAGATTATATCTAGACATTATATTTTTCCTCTAGCAAAACCGTCCTAAATTAAATCATTAAGGGGTTCCCGAAATAAAATAAGTTTTCCATCCAACAATATTTTGAAGACTTCTCCTTAAGGAACTTTGAATTCCCGAAGGATGTTTACAGCTTTAATTTCCCCAACTGAGATCATGTCTGAAGAGGATAAACTAATGGGATTACCAGCATTCCCTATTATTACACTTGATCAAATAAATAGAGCCTAAGTGTGTATATAAATTATTTAGTTCTTTGCTTTCAGACAAATTAAATGCAACGTGATACAGTTAATAGTAAAAAATGAATTTTAGACGTCTTTTAAATAAAAAAATCTAATTATTTAGAAGGATTTTGATTAAATTGATTACTACTAGGTAAAAAAAAATAAAATAAAATAAACACTCCTTTAAAAATGGAATGCAAATCATATACTTGCTTACTACTGAGATTGCCGTTATTTAAATCCAGATCCTTGAATTTAAAAGCTAATTATTCGATCTGTCTGACGAAATTTAGGTACCTTACCTCTTGGGTAAGCTTAACCTAGATCTCCCCATCTCTTACAACAAACTCAAGTCAAATAACACCCATTAACCACATGGCAAAATAAGTATATACCTGTTTTAAATACCCCCTGTTCTGTAAATAGTCCCAAGCAGGTATATGGGAACGCACACAATTACATGAGAAGGATGAAGCAATATATCCAGCAGCTGTAGATCTACTATCAGCTGATCCATCACTCGGCATTGTTGTCCTGTGTCCTTGTCAGGATGCTGAAGACTGCTGCAGACCTGTACAAGGAGGTAGCTAAAGTGACATCGCTGATATCAATGTTATTTACTCTTACATGTAATAAATTCTGTGTATACTTCCCTGACTATTAGTTAGGTTGTAGTGTATAGCAATTGTATTTTTGTAAACTTGTACGTACTGAAGTGGGTCAAAGGGTAAAATAAGCTACAGAACATTTCTTGAACAACATTGTACACTTTTTAAATTGGTTGTCAAACAAGAATGGACAAATGTAAAATGCCCCCGCAGACTGTGAAATGCAAACCTGCAGACTAAGCGAATTTCCATTTGCCTAATTGGATTTACACTAAAATGTCTCCTTAAAAATATCACATTTATTCCCTATTTAAATCAAATCAGTTTAACACATACTTAGGTTTGCTGCAACAGGGAGGGTTAAAGTGTTTTTTTTTTATGTAAAATGTTAATAGTTAGTAAGAAATAAAAACATTTTCCAAATTTGGGCAAAATATGTTAATAAAGCAAACTACAACAGTTTACTTATCCTCCATAAGAATAACATAGGAATTTTAAATTTACAACTTTTTTGAATTTTCTCCGTAACCATTAGGCGCATTATAACGCTTCAATATACTAAATTATTTGTTTTTTTAAGCTCTACAAAATAGTTTGGAAAGAAATTGCAAAAATTTAAGTTTTTTTAGGTCAAAAATGGGAAAAACCCATTTTTACCCCATAAAAGCCCCCATAAACCCCCGTTCCCATGGTCCGATCATGCTGGTTCGCGAACTCGTTCGAATAAACGTAGGTTTACACGTTTGTACCATATTTCATCAAAATCGGATCATTTTTGCTCGAGTTATCGCGCTAACGGACATATATATATATATATATATATATATATATATATATAAATATATATATATAAATATATATATATATATAAATATATATATATATATATATATGAATTTGAACAGATGCAATTTTTGGGCTCTAGGGACCTCAAAACGAAAAAAATCGGTCCCGGGTCCAGGTCTTACCATGAGTACTACGGTAATAGCTTATTCCCTATATGGGAAATTCGCTAAAAGGTGGCTACATAAGGGAATGTGAGTGTCAATTGTATAACTTATTCGCTTTATCTATCCAAATACCCTAAGCACATTGCGTTTTTGAATGGGATAAATATGAAGTTGTTGTAGCCTATATTATGATCCGTAAAGACCGGACCCGCTAATGACAATTTAAAGGTGTGTTCATGGTTTTGTAAGGGAAAGTTTGACTGCTTTGATGTATATTGATTACTTACAGGCTATACATTTCAACTTTAAACTTACTACGATCAAATGGAGCTATTGATCAGTAAGTCCCTGCTTGTCCCGTGGTCTTAATACTCGAGAGCAGATATGTTTCTGAACATTAAACTGACGCCAAACAAGCATTTGAGTGCAAAATAAAACGAGAAGTCTCGCAAATAACAATCCAGACTTTTTAATACCATCCTAACATACATTTTTCGTGGTGTATTAGAACAAGACGTACGTAGGCTATTAACTAGAACAGCCTATTAACACATATCATCTTTTATGCTGGTGTCCAGTAATCGTTTTGCAAATAACCCCAAGCTTATCCTCATCAGTTTTTGTATCCAACTGAGCATTAAAGCCATAAATGTAGGAACCATGTTGTAGTAGAACAAAGCACTTTTCCCAAATTAGCCTTGCTGAGACTGCAGGTCTGCTGCAACGGTGTTTACCATTTACATATCTCCAACTGTCTACACGCAACTAATAAGCACGACTCCAAGTCTTATCCTTCTATACTGCCGCCATATTTTAACTTGCTTCTCATCTGCTCTACTAGGCCTATGATATCATCACCGCCTTAGTCAGTACCGCTACTGTGTCTCGTCAGTTGCTTATCACCTCATTTATCACTAGCGCGTTCTGTATTGCTCCACTTACTGTATTGCTACACGTGCTGTATTGCCATCATGTCCAGTGTGACAAGTGTAAGGATAAGTTTTAATCAGCTGACCAATTACGCTTTTGTACTTGCATTTATACGCGTTCTGTCATATCTTCCTCTAATAGAAGGCTTTGGTGTGTGGCAACGTTGCGCAGGCCGGTCTGTTGCCATGGTAACAACAGTAATAAGCAACGTGTACACGTAAACACTCTGTTATAGACTAGTGCAAACAGCTGTTTGCAGGCCGGGTCTGCAGTGTTGCCATATTTTGTCTCTCCGCAACCTTGTACATGAGGTTATGGTTCTGTAGATGTTATTGGTTGTTTGTATTTTTTAAGGAGTTACATTTTTTTAAATAAAGATTAATTGGTTGCTCATTGGTATCTTCCACTGATCACCCTAAAAGTAAGATTTAAGAGCCTTCTCAAGTATCTATTTATTGTTAATCAGGTACCTTATGGTTGGATGACGAGCCTTTCTTAAGATGTGAGGCCTAGGTGTCTGGTCTAAGGCCATCTAATAATGATGAAGATATACATTATTTTAATTTTCACAAGACCTGAAAATATTTTATCCATAATAATAGGAATATAGGTATTTTTCAAAGGTATATTTCAAATGATAATATAAATCACAGTAAAATATTTGAACTTTGTCATTTTAACTAAGAAAAATCCCTCCGAAGTTATTTCATTGAAAGGGTAATAAATTGCATCTACCAACTTCTAAAGATACTTGACAAAGTAAACAGTTGTAAAGGATCCCACCTGCCCACGAGGTTGCCAAAGAAGGTCGGCATTATGGGTCTGAAAAAACGTAAACAAACATTTGGCAGGTTGCGGACGAGTAGAAACTCATGTCCAGCGCTAATACTCGCTATTTATAACCAGCGAACGAGTTTCGGCGGCGCTGCTTCGCTCTGTAACTGCCGATAGCAATACTTCTGCTTCTCTGATATTGCTGAGGAAACCAAGAAGAATTATTTGGGGACCTGCTTCAACATCGACAGTGAGCGGTTATTTATAAAATGACGTCTGTACAGACGGATGTCTCTGACGTCAACTATATACTGAATATTTCGGAGGAGTGCTATTTTGGTTGAGGAACTATAGTCCCGATGCTCTAAATGTATGTCAGTTCCAGCCTTTATTTTCATATTCAAACTGTTACTGCTCTTTTTTCTTTAAAAATGCAGATTTGGTAGCCATCAAAAGTGTGTATGACACGTTGAAAAGATTTCGGAGGAGTGCTATTTTTGACGAGAAACTATAGTCCCGATGCTTTCAATGTATGTCAGTTCTAGCCTTTATTTTCGTATTCAAACTAATAACTGCTCTTTTTAATGTAGACTTAGTAGCCATCAATTACAAACTAGATATTTGCTAGTTACAAGTACGGAAAACACGTTCAATTGGCACTACCAATTCCTGAAAATACCTTTGATAAAATTCAGCTGTAAATACTATGCTCTATATGTGGACTTTGTCAGAGAAAAATGTTCGCATGTAAAGCCCCAACGAAAAACATGACCAGTATCACAGCCTACTAATTTATAATCGCTTTTGGAATATGCTTATTTTTGCACCCTTAAATATGAATTGCGTTTTTCTTTAGACACAACTCTCTCTGTGAAACAATACAGGAACTTCTTCCAATGTGTTTACGTTATTATGGTGCATTCATTTTATTTTTTGATCTCTTTACTAATCAACAGTCTTTTTTTTTTTAAAGGAGTTTCAGTATCCACCTCAACCTCTCCATCAATTCCAGCACCCAGAAGGGTGCCCAAGATCTCTCCAGAGGGCATCTAAACCTCTTCTATATCCAACTGCCTTATTCTGCATGAACGATGCCCACAGTAACATATAACTCCCTAATGAATGGTACATTGTTCTCATTCTTTATGCCACGTGTCTATAAGACTTGCGTATGCGTGTGTTCTTCGCGGCACACTTCTTACTTTCATTGTTTAAATCTATAACTCTGGTTTAAGTGTTTGATTCATTAGAGACAGTGGAACGCGTGCTAAATGGTGCAGCTTGTTATTTAATCTGTTTTGTGAGGTTAAAGAGGTTCTAATTAGTAAGAAATAATTAATCCAAAAGTAAGTCCTAATCCAAAAGTAAGTTCTGAAAAGTAAGTTCTAATCCAAAAGTAAGTTCTAAAAAGTAAGTTCTAATCCAAAAGTAAGTCCCAATCCAAAAGTAAGTTCAAAAAGGAAGTTCTAATCAAAAAGTAAGTCCTAATCAAAAATTAAGTTCTACAAAAGAGTTGGTTATTTGTTTTTATGTTAAACATCGTTCAGAAGCTTTTTTATCAACCTCTATACACTATTTACCATAATACACTATGATCCATTAATACTGGAATCATAATTTAAGCTATTAAAATACATCTACCACGTTTTTAAGTCAATGCAGTAACCGCTCGTAAAGTTCCCTAAGTGTTGATCAAAAATAGCATTCATACTAATAATGTAAAAGTACTCTATTGCACTCTTCCCATAATCCCAAAACTCTTGTTAAGAAAACTAATACGTGGGAACAACAGGTTTTATAATTTGAAGAAGTACAGATCTCACTGCAATGGGCCTACATTCAACGTTTTGAATTAATAAATTCTCTTCTGCATGAACATTTAAATGCTTTATACAAGCAAAGTATTTTAAAATTTTTAGAACTCTATGAGGAATAATTAATTATATCTTACACCACTTTATTGTGTAAACAAACTTCACATTAGTCCAGTTTCCAATTCCAATGCAAAACGGATTACACCATAAAGTGTCCTGTAAAGCCAGCACTCGCTGGGACATAAACCTATGTTTACTTCTGGACTTGTAATTGCCAGATCCACTTTAGTCTTCAGTTAATGACACTAAATGACACTGATGCGCCGTCGGCAAGTTGTAAGTGGTAGTTAAAGCTCGAGTCTCATTCTCGAATGTCCTGGATGTAAGCAATAACACTTTCAGTAAAAAAATATCGTATAGCTTTTAGTGGGAGTGTTTAAAACACAGAGGAACATCTTAGAGTATCCTAGTTTTTTTTTAGATCGGCGAGACTAGTTTAAGCCAGGTTTTGAGCTGCCAAGTTATCAGAAAGGTAGACTGCTTTGACAACGAAGCCACCGACACACAATGCTACTCTCAATATAGAACATACATTATTTTGAAACCACTCTGTAGACTGTTGCATAAAAGTAAATAAAATATTTTCAAGGTAATTGATGGTAGATGTGTTATTTTATGGTAAACATGTCTGAGTAAGGAAAAATGAAGGTTTTACTGTTACAGTAATCATTTGAAGCTATGTAATATGGTGTATCAATATAGCAGTAGGAGAGGCCTTAAATATGGTGCATGATGAAGTTCACCCATGCAACGTACAAGATTATATTGCTAAAATCGAGCTGGAGTTATTAATACTTAAATGTATTGAAGCAAACATTGTGAGAATAACCGGTCCTGCTAACAGCCTATAAAATGATTCATAGTAAAATTATCCTCACTAATTATGGTGCTATGACAATATAAAAATACATAACAATATCACCAGATACCTAAATGGTATTAAAAACAGACACATACTTTCTCCCATTGGCTTGACAACAACCTTTATAATGCGTAAGCGGTGGGAGTAACTATAATTTTTGATAAAGAATGTCACAAAAGTTGCAATAACTTTTGAACCTTAATAATTACAGCAATGGAGGGTATACCAATTTGTTTAAAGTAACAAAAGTACAATAACATGCTAAATACAAGTATAAGACGTTCTGGCAGTTTTTATGGGTATTTAAAGGTATTATGAGGTATTATTTAAAGGGTTTTATGGAAAAAACCTCAATTAAAATTACAATTTTGCGAAAAAAAAACTCTTGAAAATTCCATGGAATAGTGCACACGTAGATAAAAATCGGACCAAAGGGAAGGTCTATAGTTTTATTCACATCCACACTACCACACGGACATCTCTTTGAAAATCAATTTTTTTGGTCCATGGTGACCAGAAACCAATATACCTACCCAAAACCCAACTTTGAAACTTTTGAATATACAACACTTTCACCATATACACTATAGAGGGAGAAAGTAACAAATATATAAGACGACGGGTCTTGAATGTAGGGCTATACACTTTACTACATTGACCAAGCACACCAGCAAGTACACTTAACAGTTTAATTACAAGAACGTCTCACCTTGGTAATGCAACACGTAAAATCAATTACGGCGATGGAACTATATAATGATTAACCTGCTGGAAGCGCGGGTTCCCACCTCAGTGAAGCAGTAAAGACTCACGTGAAGGTCAAATGCAGACTGTGTAAAGCTGAGATCATGACGATCTATTGCCTAGATTGAGCCACTCACTGCAAAGCTAATGGGTCATATTGAGCTTGAAGTGTGCGTTTCTGCAAAGCTAATGGGTTGTATTGTGCTTGAGGTGTAACTTTCTGCAAAGCTAATGGGTCATATTGAGCTGTAGGTGTAACAATATGAAAAGCTAATGGGTTGTTTTGAGCTTTAGGTGTAATTTTCTGCAAAGCTAATGGGTCATATTGTGCTTTAGGTGTAACTTTCTGCGAAGCTAATGAGGCATATTGTGCTTGAGGTGTACGCTTCTGCGAAGCTAATGGGTTGTATTGTGCTTTGGATGTAACTTTCTGCAAAGCTATTGGGTTGTATTGTGCTGTAGATGTACGCTTCTGCAAAGCTAATGGGTCGTATTGAGCTTGAGTTATAATCTTCTGCAAAGCTAATGGTTCGTATTGAGCTTAAGGTGTGCTCTTATTACAAAGCTATAATGTGTCATGATAAGCTTTAGGTACATCCTTTCATGAAATAGATGACTAATACTGAATTTGAGGTGACCCTCCCTGGAAAGATAATGGGTCATATTGGATATGAGGTATACCTTTCTGCAAATATAATGGGACATGATGCACTTAGGTATACCTTTAAAATTAATGGGTCATATTAAACTTGAGAATTATCTTCCTGCAAAGATAATGTTCATATTAATAACTTTGAGGTGTACTATACTACAAAGCTAATGGGTCATATTGAACATGAAATGTACTTCCTCCACACTAATGAAGGATATTGAACATGAGGTATGCCCTCCTGCAAAGTTTAGCGTCATTACGGCTCGAGGATTATTTTCCTGCAAAGGTATTGGGTTATCGACCTATAGGTGTATTCTCCTGCAAATCTACTTGGTCATATTGAATATGAGGTGTATTTTCCTATAAGGGATGAGGGGTTAGAAAATACTAAAATGTTTCATAGCTCAAACATTTTTAGTCAGAAATATATTGAAATTTATCTTGCACATGTCTGGCGAAAACATTGAAAGTAATAACAAAAATTTACACTATTTCCCGCAGTAATAGATACACATTTACTCATTTTTATTATTTGTATATATTCACAACTAAAAGTTCAGGGTTTATAGATCAAACCGGAATATTGAGTTTATTGTGTTATCGTGAAAGGTTACATGTGATAATGTCTATTAATGGAATTTTGTACACACATCTTTACGCAAAACTCCACGTTTACTATTAGAGTTTCTAATACAATGTCTGTGGCATTAATGATTATTGTGAACGTTACCTATTATAATTCTTTCTCACGTAATTCATTATATGTAACAACGTTTTGTTTTCGTTGAAATATTTTAGTTTTAGTTAATAGTGAAAATATCAAATTTGGCTGAAAAAAACCTGATAGTAAGGTGATATCAGTAAAGTGTTACAAAAACAGTTTAAATTTTTGATTAAATTGTTATTAAGATTGGCCCCTTTAAACAGAATTGTACAACCAAAAATGCTGTTAGAATTAGGTTATTAAGTTGTTGCACCTCTTTTGTGATCTACATATAAAATTAATAATTACTCCCACAGCGGTAAGCTGAATGTAATGGCCGTTGATGAGCCAATGGGAGAAAGTATGTGTCAGTTTGATGGTCCCGTTTAATAAGGATATTCTACATGCGCTACAGGCAAGTTTTCTGCAAACATCACCGCAAAGCTCGTCGCTGCGGTTCTGAGGTGTTTGTGGTGTTTCTGCCGGTGAAATGTTGTGGTGCGTGTACCACAAACAAGTGAGGCTTATTGGACAGTCTCATCCACAGACTATTTCCATACCCTCGGCACGATGACCCATAAAACACTATAGTTACCGGCCGTACACGCATAAGCGTAATTGACGGAGCGGCATAATTTATTGGGATTCTCGGTGTGAACAGCCGATACGATCGTGATCCCGAAACAATCAGTTAAGCGTGATTCCGAACCGACAATTTATGTCGGTATGAGACCGTTCCGTACGGATCTGATTCCGCGATTTTTAAGTACCGGTTTACGCCTTTTCGTTGCCGGGAAATGAGCGGTTCCGACCGGAGTCCGATGCCGCGAAGCGATACCGCACTCCCGGCTGCCGAATAAATATGATGATTCGGTCCAAATGTTGAAATTAGCATGAAATGGTCGCCCGCTCGTGATCTCGGGTCGTGGCGAAGGTGTGAGACCGGGAATACATTACAATAGCCTGAGGCCGACACTTGTGGCGACCACGACCAACTCTGCACTAGTTTCCACCACAGATGGAGGTCAACTGTTCTAGGAACATTCAGTTCAGCATCTCCTGTCTCATCACAATACATATCTGTGATTTTAGCGACACTTGTGGGGACCACGACCAACTCTGCACTAGTTTCCACCACAGATGGAGGTCGAACTGTTCTAGGAACATTCAGTTCAGCATCTTCTGTCTCATCACAATACATATCTGTGATTTTAGCGACACTTGTGGGGACCACGACCAACTCTGCACTAGTTTCCACCACAGATGGAGGTCGAACTGTTCTAGGAACATTCAGTTCAGCATCTTCTGTCTCATCACAATACATATCTGTGATTTTAGTGACACTTGTGGCGACCACGACCAACTCTGCACTAGTTTCCACCACATATAGAGGTCAACTGTTCTAGGAACATTCAGTTCAGCATCTTCTGTCTCATCACAATACATATTTGTGATTTTAGTGACACTTGTGGCGACCACGACCAAATCTGCACTAGTTTCCACCACAGATGGAGGTCGAACTGTTATAGGAACATTCAGTTCAGCATCTTCTGTCTCATCACAATACATATCTGTGATTTTAGCGACACTTGTGGCGACCACGGCCAACTCTGCACTAGTTTCCACCACAGATGGAGGTCAACTGTTCTATCAGAGACAATCCCAAAATAATGTTCAATTGAGTGTATTAAAATTCAGGTCCACATTGATTCAGAGAAAAACGCTGAATGGTAAGCATTAGACATAAACACCCAACATTCTACTAATGGATAAACCACAAACATAATATTTGCAGAGGGCTTGAGCAACAGCCTTTCATTAAAAATCTTCCACGGACATCTGACGAAAACTCTTTTTTCAGCTAATATCGAGATATTATGTGATTTTTATAGTGGGTTGGCATTAAAAGTTCGCATAGTGCCAATACCCTACTAAGGAAATTTTTAAATCGTGGGCACATTCAAATTATATGGATCCTCAGGTCCAAAGTCTAGAGACGCGACACCAAAACTATCATTGAAGTGATAGTCAATTGTATCACTCCTCATCAACTCCATGACTTCCATAGTGTCCACTACAACACGTCATATCGTGTGCCATCGGTTCAACGAGTTTCCATACCGTCCACACCACCCACCCCGTTCCCACTCCGTCTGCAGGCCGCCACTTGGGATGCACCACCAGCACCGCAGGTTCTCAGGCGTGAGGTATGGCAGGCAAGAAACGGCGGCCACCTGCAACAATAACACCAACACATTTTTTTCTTTTACGCGGTGTTCTTTTATTGACCAATTATTTGAGCAGGCGGCAACCTCCAGTCAATCAAACGGAATCTTTTTATTCCGCCGTGCCGTTTTTCTAATCGCTCCCGATTCACCGGACTAGATCCTCGTTGTTTACGGCCGCGCGGACTCGTCACTTCTCGTTGATGACAAATTTATCACGTCGCCTTCCAAGGGCTTGTCGCGAGTCAGTTTTTACCTTCTTACCGATGCGAGACAATTAACACTAATTGGAGAGTGTTATATATGACGGCGGCCCGTCTTTGTGCGAGCTGTTCAGCCAAAACTGGAGTGAAGTATAATTGTTATTGCCCGCTCCATAACATGCATTATGAATGGTTGTGGGATGCGCCGGGACTCTGAGATGGCGCGGATGTGCTGACGAGAGGATGGTAGGTGCGACGAGGTTGAGGAGCGTTAAATAACTAAGACAAAGTTAATAAATGGTGTGTACTATCTAGATTTGGACCGGTGAGGAGTTTAGCAGATAAAAAATAACTGCACTTGATAAAAACTTCATGTACTTACTTCTTGTAAGTTCATCCATTTACAGCTAATTTTAGTTTATGTGCAAAGTGACATTGTAATGTAGGATAGTTCAAAATAATCATCCGTTTAAACTATTGGTAATTCCATAGCATAATTTAGACTGCACAATAATATTCAAATGAATGATGAAAGGTTCAATTTTGCGATTTTTAACTATCTAAAACCCCACATTCCAGACAACCTTGTGGTTTTTCATTGTGAACTAGAAGATGGGTTCCAGTATAGTTTAGCTAGTATTGGAAAGGCAGAAACCAAGTTTAATCTCGACGCTTCTTTTATCTAAGCATGGATTTAGTCCGGAAAACAACTGTTTGCCGCCTGCTTAATCAAATAGGCTTCGTTCTACTAGAATAAATAATTTTGCCGGAAATCATAATTGTTTTTAGTTTTTGAAAACCTGTAATATTTACTGAATGCAAATAATAATCTACAAAATTAACACTGAACTTATTCCTAAAGATAAAATCTCAAAGTTTTGTAAGTAGTCAAATATTCAGATAAAAGCGAGTGCTTGAAATGTAAAACAAAACAACACTACAGAGAAGTTATAATCAGTGATTGTTAATTCCTTAATTCTGTGGAAACTTGAAATGAATTTTGATATATGTTAAAATGAAATCCCCTTTATAGAAGAGGCAGAATTGAAACCTCCAAAGTAATCTTGAACTATATTATAGCTTAAGTATTGACTAGGCACCCAAGAAGATAAAGAATTTAGAACTCAGGGAATTTCAAGTGATTTATTACCACTCGCGTGGATCTACAAAGATCACCACCGCATAGATAAATAAGGAAATCGCAAAGTTAGTTTCCCCATCATCTTTGTTTTCCGTCATCATTAACAGCAGGAAAGTTTGTTTACAACACAAACAGTTGTATTACAACTTTCTGTGATATAAAAACATTGGGTTTACCAAAGCACTGTGGAAGAAATCTTTTCTAGTAGTTTTGAAATTCCCACCCTAGTTTTAAATGAAACACTTTAGATTATTTTTTATGAGTTTTCAACCTAATGAAGTATGAAAATGAATCTGGTCTATAAAGTGTAACAATGCCTGTTCAGTTTATCTTGGTAAAATGTGTTATTGATTCATGTAGAAAATCAAATAAAAAATATGTCGTTTAACACTATAGTACTTTATCGGGTTTTATGGTCAAATAAATAATTTTTAAAGTAAAAAAATGTGAAAATTTCATGGATTAGTAGCTTTTTGGATTAATGTGTACATTCTAAATTTCATCAAAATTTGACTACAGGTAGCTCTATACATATCAACATACAGACGCACCACACAAAAACATCACTTTTAAAACATTTTTTTTGTTAGGTACCCAAAACAGATGTATCCACCCGAAACTCAAAATCAGAAATTTAGACGATTACAATACTTTCTCCATATACTACCAATATGTAAAAGGGGGGGGGGGAAATAAACGTATTTAAAAAGAAAATCCAAGATAATATCCTACAAAAATGAAGCAATCTAGAATATCTTATAATCCATTTCAGCCTGAATATATATGTTAATCAGAGACAAGCCACGAGTTATTAATACAGCAATAAGAGGCTGGAGACATTATCTGACAATCTGGGAATATTTAAAATAAGTGAGATGTTTTCGTGACACATTGCCGAGGACTGGTGACTAAAACCAGGTCCTCCGGTACTCATTCATATCTGGTGATAACTAGCTGTTATTTATACAAGTCCGTAATGTTGGGTCCTCTTTACATTCAGTTTTACTTCCTCTCTCGGTAAAAAACTGAAAAATGTTTCGGACCTCTGGATTAACAAAAATTTAATTAGGAAAGGTAGTTGTTCTTTAAGTAGAAATGAGAAATACCATTATTTTACCAATTGTCAGGAACGTTCCTCACTTTATGGTAATAGGTAAAATAATAGTGTTGGTTTTGTAACCTATTACTTTCTCGTCAAGAACGTTTCAGTAAAGTTAAGCACGTTCAGCTTTACTCGCTTGCTTGTTATACAAATTCAGATGACGTGTCAAAATAATACGGTATTCTCAGTAACCTATTATTAAGGTACTGTTATTTTATTATACTTGCTGTTAAGAGAAACAGTTGATGAGTAGGATTGCTGATTAATTCACTTGTTTAAACAGTTTGACGACGGATTAGTATTTGATGCTACAGAAATTATAGGGTAAAAGGTGACACTCCATAGTAGTAGTAATCTATCCTATTACTTAAAATACCCACCTTGCTCTTCAAGGTTATATATGTGGAACCAAAGCACTTTTTGAACATAGAGAATTATTACAGCATTAACATTGGTACATAATAACCAAATCATTTGGGGGTCATAAACCTGTAGGATATTTTTAAAGGTAAGTTATGGAACAATTTATGTTGTGTAAATTCTACGTGATTTTACTGGAAGCAATTTTAGAACAAGGCTCAAAAATTGAACCTCATTTTATTCCGCGATCCAAGATGCTTTCAAGGCTAATAAAATAACCCCTATGATGGATCCAATATTTGTAAGATCACGAACTAAAAAGTGCCTTTCTACATACTTGCAAAGTGTTAGAATAGTTGCACACGTGAAGCTAGTGTATGCCAGAGGTAAATACAGTGGCAATAAACAATATGATTTGCTAACCTACTTCACGCCAACAGAAATTCGCAGCCGCCAAGCATGTAACTGACCATGAGTATACGAGACATTCTGCCACTGTGTTGTTATATATTTGTCTTGACGCACTTTCTGTCTCATAAGAATGTTACATTGCGATTTCCTACATATTTTTACAAAACAAACCATCATTAGTCGTGTAAGGGAGTAGCAACAATGTAAGCTGAGAAAATATTACCGAGTAGGCGAGGCAGATAAGAAGTAGAGTAGATGGAAGAAACAAAGTATGGTTTACAATGTTGATAAGCATTTTGTTATGTTTCTGTCTTGTTTAGACTTAAAGACTAAACTGTTTGGAGTGGCGTTTATGATCGTTGAAATTGTAAACTTTATTTGTGGTAAAGTTTTAAGGTTACTGCCACATAGGCCTATCATTTCAGGATCTTATACTCTGTTAGTAAGTGGTTGAAGCGATCATACATTTTTAACATAAGTCTATAGTCTGTATGATGGAACCTGTCTACTAATCATCTGGTCAATGGTTTAAGGTCCGGGACAGTCCCAGGTAGATGAAGGGTTAGGAGACAAGTTCCATCATACTGACTATTATAAGAACTTTTGTGGAATGAACAGTGCGAATGGTTACATTAAACCAAGTTTTTTATTACTGCAATATATCATTAAGCTGGAGTTTCAAGTTTTCTTTGTGTTTTTGGTTTTTATATGGCTAGAGTGGGTCCAAGTTTTTTTCCAGTACAGCCTTCACATTAACGTTGATTGCGGTCACACGTTTTTTGCAGTATAAAAGACAAAGTTAATTTAATATACGACAATAATACTGAACTCGAGTCCGTCGACGACATGAGATTTAATATTACACAAATATTTCCATGTTCAACTTAGCATCATTGTCAGTCTTATTCCTTATTCCCCAGAAAGACCTTGACTCTTCAATGTTACCGGCGTCACCAAATTCCCCACTGTCAACCCTTTGGCTGTGTGTTTTTCGACTCGGTTTCCCAACACTGTATTGCTTACTGCCCTAGTCGGAAGTTTTTCTTATACTGTACTGTCCATACTATCCTGGTCACAAGTTGTCCCAATACTGTCGACACTACCCTGGTCGCAAGGTTTTTTATACTGTACTGTCCATACTAACACTGGTCTCAAGTTTTCCTTATACCATACTGTCCTTACTGCCCTAGTCGCAAGTTTTTCTTACAATGTCAATACTACCAGGGGTCGCAAGTTTGTCTTGTCCATACTACCAGCGGTCGCAAGTTTCCCCAGCAGTCTCACACCGCTACTGTAAGCCTCTGGTCACATTTTCCCCAGTACTGTCACACCTAACCTTGGAAACGTTCGCACGATCACTGACGCAATACTTCTTTCCCGTCCGAGTCTCACCAATAACTGTCCCGCTTGCGGATGTCCGACAACATTCACCGGCACGCCAATCTCGGCCGTACCGACGTTAGAATAGGGCCGATAATTGAATGTCGTTTGTAAAGGTCGAGGACGCCACTCGTCTATACAAATGATAACATTTTATTGCACTAAATGTCTACATTGCTCAGTGGAACTTATAATGAGGTTTTGTGCTAAGAGATTTATTACCTATCCTGGTGTACTCTTTGATGAGTAACGAGGAAAAAATGAATGAAAGAGACACATCATGGTATATTTATGACAGTATGAATAGATGCTTTATACATGGCCTTCTTAATTAAATTGATCAGAGGTTTTAACAGTCATCATTTTAACAATGCATCACAAGAACAACCCCCAAGAGGTATCAATGACCTTCTTAAAGGACGAAATTTGACTTAAAACTATGTAAAACTTAGAAAACTTGCTTTTGAATATTTGCAGTAGAACAAATAACGTTATTATTTTTTGTAGCGCAGTGAGAAAAATCATAAAGTTGATTGAATGGTCAAAATGTTGACGATAGTGAGTTAGCAAGTTCCACTAGTAATGTATCGAATACTGCCAAGTCGAAATTTCCTATTAATGTCTCCACTATGGTTTGCCACAAGCCTCATATTTCCCAACTTTACTCGGTCTCCGTCAAAGGGTTTTGGACTGCTATTACTCATAAAATTATTGAAAGATTCAATCTCTAAACAATCACTTGAAATTAAATTGGTGAATTATTAGGATTGAATGAGAACGAGGATGGAAACCATCCTATTACCCGAATGAAACTCTAGCTAGGTAACACTTGACAGGTGAATCTAACATTCCCTCCAACTATAAATTTGCTGCATGAAAACCAGTAGCGTGTAATTCGTTAGTCGTCACAGTCCACGGCTCCAGTCGCATCCGTAAACGCGTTAACGTGTCAGATACGATCGACACGTGTAATCACGTCATTACTGCAGATAAGTGGTACGAGATAGTTCATTAGACGTTCATCCATCACCGTCGTGTTAACTCTTCCTTGGTCCTTCGAGCCGGATTTCGAACCAAGGTCGCAGCGTCGATCTAGATTGCCCCGCAGCCGGATGCGAATTTTTTGCGAGGATTCCTCTTATACGACGGGTTTATGAGGTGATTCATGAGGCAGTGACGATGTGAGTTGGTGGTTACTGTCTAAAACCTTGTGTGTATTTGCTGGATAAAAAAATACAGGTTTTTTATTGATGTAATTATTCTACGGAAAGTAAATAAAAGTCTTATAACACTTAAAACATATAAATACGCTTATACTGTTACTCACAAGATGGAAATATATATATAAAAGATGGTAAGTGGTGATCGATTTCAATTGGACATTCCAATTACCCAATAGCCGAATCATTATTCTGGGGGTTTTGATATTGAGTCAGTAGTTAAAAGCTATAACAAAAATGTACAGAGTGTCCATAAAAAACGTTTCAGCTTGGGTTATGAATCCTCATACTAAAAGGATGTCTAAAAATGTACATTTACCTAGATATCTGCCATTTTGTTTGTTATACATAAATATTTTTATCTTTGAAGTTTTTCAACTGATGATTATGAAACTTAATCAGCATGCTAATGTACACAAGACCAATTTAGCTGAGAAGTGTCATTATAGTCTGTATGATGATGGTCCATGTTTCCTAAGTCACCATTTAGCTGGTACTGGCCTGGACTTTAAACCATAGGTCAGTCCCCAGGTTGGCGAGAATGTCTAGCACACATAATAATACAGCATTCATATGGTAACAGGAATCTAATTTTTACATTAATATAATGTAAATCATGTTTGGTTGACTGGTATATCAAAAACTTGTTTAATTCCTAAAAGAAATTAAATACAAGAATCTGCCTACAGGGTTTTTACTTTGATGTACACATGTAGCTAGGTCGAGCAACGCATCTAAACCTCACTACATACAAAACATTGGGAAACACAACAGTGTCATCACATCTCATCGCATTTGCATAATTTGTTACCAAGGCTGGACTAGGTTATGGATTTGGTTCCGCAAATGTTAAAGATTTGTGATCAAATTTCCTACAATTATGGTTCATTCCATACACGAAAAACATGCACAGCTTTATGTGGCCGATATGGCCAGGCAAAACTACCCCATAAGTTAATGAATTATCAAGTAAGAATCCTGTTCTGATTAAATACATGGGTTGATGTGGCAAGAGAAGGAATTAAAATTGCTTACATCGAAGTAAGAATGTTACTGCTATCTGGAAAATCAGATATTTTTATCAAATAAAAAAAAAAAATTATTTAAATGCTGATAAAATTCTGTATTTTTATGACCAAAGATGAAGATTTACTTATAAATCTGGATACAATCTGAATGATTTTTCTAAAGCAGATGGAATTAGTTGTTAGTAATAAATATTGACTCTTTCCGTAACATGAAAGACTAATTATATGAACTCATTCTCCCATATAGTGAAAGTGGCTTTGACATGATAGCGGACATGATAAGTGGCTTATTATTATGCTTATCCTCCCTTCATTTAACTAAGATTTTAATGACTTCACTCTATCTATCGCAGTTAGCTGAATTTACATAAAACCTCAAGATTAACCGTCGATTCCGACGGGGTTCCACTAGTATTATTTATTCAAAAACGTCATAGGTTAAAACTAAAATGAAAACAATCCAAAACTATAAATACCCACAACAGAACGTAAACAAGATATCAACTCTTTCGTAATCCAACGTTCTTCTCGGATTCCCAGTCGTTAAACTACTGAAGCGCTTCTGAACCGATAACGATAAACCAAAGGTCATCGCGGGGCCTTGCGGTAAAAGTGGTGCAGTGATCGTAACGCCGTGGGAATTGTGGTAATTAGAAGGGAAGCGACTGCGCCGGCGCGCGGATTTGGCGGGAAACTGAGTCAAGGCCGGGATGGGCGGCGACCTTGAGAGCGCATGCGCGCTGGTGCGTTAATTGGATCAACTGCGCACGCGTTGTGAACACGTCGCGCTGCGCTGCGTCCTCCGCACGCGTTTTGTTCATTGCGTTGCGCAAGTCAGCTGTTCGGCTCTGCTCGGGATAATGGATTGGGTTGTCATAATTTTGTTCCTGTTTATCTATTTGCTTTGAATCACACGTTTAATTATTAGGCCTATGCTATGATAATTTATTTTTCAAAGGCATACATACAATAATGATAAAAAAAATTTCCGATTTATTGTGTGTTGTCTGAGAAGTCTTGATAAAATATTCCTTTATTATTATGCAAACTATGCGATTATTTAGCAAATAAGTTTTCCTTGGGTGTGAACTTCACTATTAGACAAGGGTCAGATTACAGATGAAAACCTTTTCAAAATTTGTCTTAGAAAAAACTCTATAAAACACCAATAATAAAAAAATCGGCATAAACAAAAATTAATCTACCATATTATAATTATGTTTATTAAACTATGAAATAAATGAGAATTTTTAAACTAATTTATAATTTGTATACACGCAATTAACATTTTAAAATTATATACACCATAGTAACAACCTCTTGCAAACAAAAATTACCAAACATAGAAAAATGAAAACGTCTTCCTGCATACATTCAATTGCAAGTCTGACATCATAATCATATTTCCGAGTGAGATGTACATTATCATAATGTACGGTTGTCTATTCC